TGTTTATCTGCATTTAACAACGACTTCAACATGTCTCCAATCAGATTCCAGAGTCTGTAATATTAGTTTAATAACATTTATTTGATGCTGCATCAATTTTGTTTGACGTTGATTGATTCAGGTGTTTATAGTGCCCCAAAGAGTGTGCAGAGCTAGAGCTGTGTGAGTGTTAAGCTTGTCATGGATATCAGTGTGATCTTTAAACCTGAGAATTTTGAAGAGAGAATACCTGTCACCAGTGTAACTGACATTCACAACACGGTTAAGGGTTTAAAAGCATAGTTCACCCAAAAATGAAAGTTCTGTCATCATTTACTCACTCTCAAGTTCCAAATATTTTGAAGAATGTGTATCCAAACAGTTGATGGGCCCCACTGACTTTCATAGTATGGAAAATCAATAGAGACACTCTTCAAAATATCTTCTTTTCCTTTCATCCGGTGAACTATCCCATTATGAAGGACTGAAATGGTCAAACAGAGTTCAAAAGTGTATGAAGAGGAGAGGAATGAGTGAGTTGTAACAACTTTATGGCCTGCATTCCTTACCTCATTGTCTAAAAGACCACGTGTAAGAAAAACAAGTCCTGTAAGCATTAGCGTCCATTTGAACCCTTTGACCCTTGCAATACCTTTAGTATCATTACAAAAAAATAAAAGTTTAAAGTTGTCCCGCAAACAAACAGAATTTGATAGTGACAATGTTTTCTTCTCATGGTTTTCTTTATATTCTGCTATTCTGAAAAATAGACTACTATGGGAAGTCTTAATGTGTTAATTTGAAGAAATGCTCTCTCAATAAATAACAAATGTCATGAATACTATATGCCTAATAATTATATAAAAAATAGAAGAATGTTGGGTAAAACTTTATTTGACATGTGTCCTTGTTACTATAGTTATAACTATAACTTTTGCCTAATTACATGCAACTAAACCAAACCTAATCCTGCCCTAACTATATAGTAAGCATAGTTAATTAATAACAACACTGTAACAAGGACCTCGTCTTGCTCGCCACATTGTTCTTTTGAACTTTAAAGAAATATTAAGTAGAACTACTGTTTTTAACACTGATGAAAATAAGAAATAATTCTTTGGCACCAAATCAGCATATCAGAAGTATTTGTGTTGGATCATTCGACACTGACGACTGGAGTAATAATACTGAAAATTCAGTAATACATGAACCGACACCATACTTTTGAACAGTAGTTTATATATATATATATACTATAAGTGTGTGTGTGTGTATATATATGTATATATATATATATATATATATATATATATATACTTTATAAATTATATTTGTAAGTATTAAAGGTGCGTTGCGCAAGTCTCTGAGTTTTTGCAGAACTACACCCCCTCTGGCGACAAGCAAAACTGCAACCAGAGGTGTGCACGCTCATGGACCACACGCACGCTTGCACGAGCTGTTCATAGCCAAAGGAGCATCAGCAAATCTTTTGTTACAGTCATAATGTCTTCAGAGGTAATAAAGTTATAAATCTACAACAAGTCATTTTAAATATATGAAAGGAAAGGCATCTAAGTAAATTACAAACTTATGTGTGAGGGGAAAACTGGGGTGGTAGAAAACGTTTTTTGTTTCCATCTATCTACATGTTGAACTGTTTTATGTGGTTACTGTATTCACTTATGATTGTATTATTATGAAAACACGTTCATGAACAATATAAGTTATTAATTTGTATAGGATCCCATTTGAGCCCTAGAGCAGACCGGTGATCTCTCCATTTGTTGAAAGCCTTCCCGATGTTGACCGACGCCTGGCACTAGACGAAAGATTTATTTTCTTTGTCTTACGTGTTTGACTTATGAGTTTCCGTCGGGTTTTGAAATGAACTACATGCCAGTCTCTTTGAATCCATCTTTTACTTTTGTGGAAAGTTGGCTAAAGTTGTGTCGCTCGAGTTGTCTTCGCTGATACGGAGAATGGCGGTGAATACACAAACCTGCCAGACATTGCCAGGTGAGCGTGAACGCGCATGACGTCACGCGCAGTCTTAAATTCCGTCTTGAATCCCCCTTATTTATTTTACTATACATGATTATAGAGTCAGTGATCGCAGTGATCAGAGAGGGGCTCATTCAGCCCATCAGGCAATTGTTTAAGCATGTGTATGGGTTAGAAAAACGGGCATTTTTAACATGAAATGTTGCGCAATGCACCTTTAATTTTATACAAATATTTTGTCAGTTTGTCCATTCATACATTGGTAAGCAGCTTAGGTTGTAGAGCTGTATAATTTCAGCGAATGAGGGAGAAGGTTTTGGGATTTTGGGATTTGTGTTTGTTCAGGGAATGAATCTTTGTGGATCATGTTTTTGATTGAAGAACCTTCTTATCGTGGATTTTGTGCTTTGAGTGCTATAAATACTTCATCAGTTTGGGGGGGGGATGGGATGGGATGGGGTGTACTCGCATCCCTAACCAACTCCCAATATGGTCAGCTCACCTGAAGATTGATATCTGTTTCCATTTAAAGTGCAACTCCATCCTTTCATGAACCCATTCAACTCTGCATAACTCAAAATCACATTAGTACCAAATTTGGCTTTGATAAAATAAGTGAATTAACAATCAGACCCAAGGGTTTGACCTGAAGAGGACATATGTTTGTTTCAGTACAACATCAGTAAAGCAGTCATCATCAATGCTAACACTTTATTAATTGTGTAAGGGTATAACTGATGATCTTTTTACATTGTTAAACGACTGTGTAAACAAGCTTTATTGCACACATTATTGGATGTTGTCCATCCTCTCAGTGTCCGGTTTAAAGGGATTGAGAAAATCACCAAGTGAGCAGTTTCTGTGTCACTCAGGTCTGACGAATCTCTCAAAAATATTGAAAGCACACTTTCTTTCCTAAAAGACATTTTAAATTTAATAACCCAATATGGCCTGCATCCTGCCAACTGACACACATTTTAAACGCAGGGGGTTATGTTCTCCCAGCTGGTGTGCAGGTGTTATATTTTAGTATAATTAATTATGCAGTGAGTACTATGGTCTATGGTGAAATGTGTGTTTGTGTGTGTGTGTGTGTGTATATATATATATATATATCCTATACACACTAATTGACCACAAACACACCAACTGACTTATAAGATTGACAATATACAATATAGTTGGAGAGACTGACATAACAAACCACAGGTTTTTATCAAGCTAAACAGCAAAAATAAAAACTCACTGCACAAAAAACTTTAATTTACAAAGTAAATTTTACAGGATATGACTAAGAGTCATCCATCTGATCTTTGCTTTTCATACTGTTTCAGTGTTATTGCGGTCTAATCCTCTTCAGCCATTTGTTTTTCATCCACATCCACAAAAACATGCTCTCTGTTCGTAGAAGCCACACTGTATGAACAGACAGACACAAAGACACTTGGGGGTAGGCTTTTTGAGACTGAGACCAAGGAGTTAAACCAATTAGAAATGGATGGAAAAAAACAACGACTGGAGATTCACTGTCATTTCCCTGCTGAGTATCATCAGATCTGAAGCCCCTTATTACTTGGCTTTGTGAATAAAAGGATACAAAGTGGGCTTGTTTTTTTCATGTCTCTTCAGTTTAATTTCATAAATAGATTGATGAATAAAGTTTTGCTGTCAGATTCACTCTTTTCGTCATTCTGATTTTCAGCTAGAGAGGAATAATGAATGCGCCTGCTCAAAAGCCGTAAGCCACATCGTTTGTTCTAGTCCAGCTGAAAATAACACATGAAAAAGAGCTAAGAAAAGAGAAAGCTCTTCTCATCATTTTAATGAATTTACTGGTTTCAGCATCAAGTCATGATAATCTCCCTCTTAAGATCCTACAGTCATTTTACAAACAATACACATTTTAATACTTCTACTTGAGGTTTTCAACATTATCACTTTCACATCTGTGATAAAATACGTTCTTAAAAAATAAGCTTAAGTCTAACATATGAAAGTGCACATAATTTACCACCTTAATATGTCTTCTATGGTTGTCTAGATTTCCAGTACTTCGGCACCAAGTCTGTACTGAAATTTTAAAGTGTGATAATAGCTGCATTTTTGCATTACCGGTAAGAGAGTACTGGGTATGTTCAGTACCAACTGATGTCCCATTCTATTTTTGACGTTCTTCCGGCACTCGCACTACTTCTGACACGAAAATGGTCGCTTCGTCAAATCTAGTGTAGACGGCTGCAAACTGTCTGTAATAAATGGCACATTCGCTGTAGATGAGGTATTTTTCAAAATCCTCTTTTGTTCAGTGCACACTTTATGGTGTATGTCCACCTCAGCTTTGGAGTGTCTGAAGCGAGTATGTTTTTTTTATCTATTTTATTTCAATAACCATCACATATAAGATTGATTACAGTTGGCAAGAAGCAAGCTTTGTTTCTAAATGCCCTAAGTTTAAAAACTTTTGTTAACCCAGCCAGTGTAATCACAGTGAGAGCATCTAAACTGCAATATTTAACATGCAATTTATTGGTTATCTCATTTTCCTCATGCTGTGAGTTGGACATGAACTCTTATTACTGAGTATAATTTACAAGCAGATGGAAATTAATTTGGCACAAATAACTGGTTAATGCTTTGTTGATTGGCAGTTGCCATTTACCACTTGTATCTTGTTTCAACAGTATTACTAGTCATGACAGATTGTATTTCTCTCAGATGGACACTTTACATCTCAATAGAGCTGGCTGTAGTACAATAGCCCTGATTAAAGGGAGTGGATGGATTAATAGTGATTGACTGCGCTGGCCTGAGTTGCCCTGAATGTAAAAGCGTAAGCCAGGGCCTGTGATGACTTGGGATTACAGACTGACTTCAGGTCTCTTCCAAAAAATCACAAAAATCACTTTATATATAACTATAACTATGTATAAATATATATATATATATATATATATATATATTATTATATGCCCAAACTATATGCCCAGTTTAATATGCATTTTATTTCTTGTCTTTTTCAGATGTGTCCTCAGCAAAGAAAACGCACACGTGTAAGTATAGTTTTCATGTAAGTGCAAATTCCTGTGGCCTCAGATGCTTCTGTGACATTTTCTATTTGCATGCAAGGCCAAATGCTCTGGGAAAATTTGAAGTGAGGAGAAGACAAACTTCTTGAGCATTCAAGAAATGGAGAACGTTGACACCCACTTTGACATCCATCTCACTTCGGTTAAATCAGATTTTTTGGGTTAATGTGAGAAAGTGAAAATGCATGCTTTGATCTTCAAGAATAGACCGATCAGATGACGTGATAATAAATGCTGGTTTAAAAAATTGTTCTACCACCAACGCCCATCGCTTTTCAGTAAGGTTTTATTTAGTAATTGTTGCACATCCTATAAGATCATTTGTGAGATATATGTGTAGCCGTTTCTTAAAGTTGTGTTTACCAGTTTGTCAGTGGTGTAACTGATTTTTCTCACCTCCTCTTACCCCACACCATGGTTACATGTACAATCTCTCTCTTTTATGCAACATACACTCAAACACAAACATGTTTATGTGTATATATATTAGGGGTGGGCCGTTATCGGCGTTAACGTAAGACTCTTGTCGGGCGATAAAAAAAAATATCGCCATTAATCTATTCTCACAGTTGAGTTGGGAGCTGACTATACCACACAAGCTATGATGACTTTCACTTTGATATTTTAGCGCAGATGTAGTCGAATTGCACTGTAAGGGCCATTTAAAACCAATATATTGAAATGTCTGTATATCCAGACATTAGGAAAATATCAGAGATGCATTTTATATTTAATATGAGGGAAATACACATCCATAAACGAGGTCGCACACCGAACGAGAAGCGCAGCGCCGTGCCACATCTAGGGGGCTGTTTACACCTGGCCACTTCATGCGTTTTCTCAGATCGGATATAAATCCGATCTTCAATTCCCCCACGCTAGTATATGCTGATTTAATGAAGTGCACGTCACCGAAAACAACAGATATGAGCTGCATTTCGATCATCGGCTAATTTCAAAATCAGCAAAGACAGCAATAAGAGAGAGTAAGATCATAGTGGACCTGGTAAGATCATTAGTTTCTTTACTTTTAATGAAGATGGTAGTGTTAAGTGTCTGCGACTTACTTTCATTTTGATTTGTCGTAGATTGCGGCGCTGGCTTGATAGGCGCTCAGCTGCTCATCTGAGGTGATGCGTGTCGCAGTAGCGCCGTCATATCTGACTAAAATAACATGACATATGGCCTATAACACGCTCTCACACTCTTATTTTTTAGCATTTTTGGGAGTAGTAACATTTACATATGTGGTTTCAACAACCAGATGCATTTACACATGTCCAGTTTCGTCTGGAATGTGGCCAAGACTACCTTCTGATGTGGTTTTAGTGATCGGAGTTTCGGAGGGCATTTACAGTACACCTGGTCTTTTCAAGATCGGATACAGAAAACGTATGAAGTGATTTCAGAGCATCCGTTAACTGAATTAATTGAGAATCTCACCTGAAAATCCAATAACATCAGCAATTGTCATTCAAGCAGCTGATTTCTGTATTAGGCTATGCATTATGCATTCATCAGATATTTTATCCCTCTGTATTTATTTGTATTGTAAGAAAAAGAGCTTCCCGGACTCTACAAAATAATTCATTTCGTGTTACATAGAAGAAAAGTAGATCAAATGAGTTTAGAATTACACAAGAAAACTTTATGAAAAAAACATCAACAACAACAACAAAAAAACTGATTTAGTTATTATTGCGTGCTGTTTAAAACTAGGGTTGACAATAGAATAAAATAATTATGATTACTCTCATTATTTATAATAATATGAACATTCCAGTGTTAAATCTTGTATAAAACATATTTAGGTCTAATTACAAATTACCTGCGAGGTTATTTATTTGGGTATAGCATACGCCTTTGGTAGAATTCAAATGAGCCATTTTAATCTAGATTAATTTCAAAATGAATCTAGATTTAAAAAAAAAAAAAAATCTATGCCCACCTCTAATATATATACAAACCCAATTCCATAAAAGTTGGGACACTGTACAAATTGTGAATAAAAACAGAATGCAATGATGTGGAAGTTTCAAATTTCAATATTATATTTAGAATACAACATAGATGACATATCAAATGTTGAAAGTGAGACATTTTGAATTGCCATGCCAAATATTGGCTCCTTTTGGATTTCATGAGAGCTACAAATTCCAAAAAAGTTGGGACAGGTAGCAATAAGAGGCCAGAAAATTTAAATGTACATATAAGGAACAGCTGGAGGACCAATTTGCAACTTATTAGGTCAATTGGCAACATGATTGGGTATAAAAAGAGCCTCTCAGAGTGGCAGTGTCTCTCAGAAGTCAAGATGGGCAGAGGATCACCAATTCCCCCAATGCTGAGGCAAAAAATAGTGGAGCAATATCAGAAAGGAGTTTCTCAGAGAAAAATTGCAAAGAGTTTGAAGTTATCATCATCAACAGTGCATAATATCATCCAAAGATTCAGAGAATCTGGAACAGTCTCTGTGCATAAGGGTCAAGGCCGGAAAACCATACTGAATGCCCGTGATCTTCGGGCCCTTAGACGGCACTGCATCACACACAGGAATGCTACTGTAATGGAAATCGCAACATGGGCTCAAGAATACTTCTAGAAAACATTGTCAGTGAACACAATCCACCGTGCCATTCACCGTTGCCGGCTAAAGCTCTATAGGTCAAAAAAGAAACCATATCTAAACGGGAACCAGAATCGCAGGCGTTTTCTCTGGGCCAAGGCTCATTTAAAGTGGACTCTAGCAAAGTGGAAAACTGTTCTGTGGTCAGACGAATCAAAATTTGAAGTTCTTTTTGGAAAACTGGGACGCCATGTCATCCGGACTAAAGAGGACAAGGACAACCCAAGTTGTTATCAGCGCTCAGTTCAGAAGCCTGCATCTCTGATGGTATGGGGTTGCATGAGTGCGTGTGGCATGGGCAGCTTCCACATCTGGAAAGGCACCATCAATGCTGAAAGGTATATCCAAGTTCTAGAACAACATATGCTCCCATCCAGACATCGTCTCTTTCAGGGAAGACCTTGTATTTTCCAACAAGACAATGCCAAACCACATACTGCATCAATTACATCATCATGGCTGCGTAGAAGAAGGATCCGGGTACTGAAATGGCCAGCCTGCAGTCCAGATCTTTCACCCATAGAAAACATTTGGCTCATCATTAAGAGGAAGATGCAACAAAGAAGACCTAAGACAGTTGAGCAGCTAGAAGCCTTTATTAGACAAGAATGGGACAACATTCCTATTCCTAAACTTGAGCAACTTGTCTCCTCAGTCCCCAGACGTTTGCAGACTGTTATTAAAAGAAGAGGGGATGCCACACAGTGGTAAAAATGGCCTTGTCCCAACTTTTTTAAGATGTGTTGATGCCATGAAATTTATTTGATATGAGGGAATATGTCATCTATGTTGTATTCTAAATATAATATTGAAATTTGAAACTTCCACATCATTGCATTCTGTTTTTATTCACAATTTGTACAGTGTCCCAACTTTTATGGAATTGGGTTTGTATATATATATATATATATATATAATACAGTTTGTTATTTTTCATAAATTATAATTTATTGTATTATTTCTATTATAATAAATATCAAATATTTTATGTAAAAAAATATTTTAAAAATTACATTATAAATGTAAATTCTGTTCTTTTATTAATTGATGTGCTCTACATGCCCTTTGTAAACTAATGTAGGTGTTAAAGGAAACAGGAGAGAGTCATTTCTTATATATTGGTTTCATGCTGAAAGGTTTTGCCTACATGACAATGTTGGTCAAGGTGAGAGGAGGTGCTCAAAAAAATAATTGCACTCTAGTGGGATGCTTCTGTGGTTTACCAGCAGAGATTTCCTGTTTATGTACTGAATGATTTGAAATCCCCTTTTCTGGCTGAGATGTCCCTTGTGTACTTTGAAAATACCGAAAGCAAAGTTATACTTAAAAAAAAAAAGTGAAACGTTAGAACGAATTTATGCGCTGTACTATGCCCAAGCTTATTTGCATATTGCATTCAGATGTATTTGGTGGTTCTTAAAGCTGCAGTCTGGCGTTTTCCCCTCTTTGTCGCCATCTCTGTTTGTAATCTGCAATTGCAGTCATTCACGGAGTTATCAAGTTTATGTGAGTTGTACTTCAACACCCTCGACACGGCACAGCGTGGATGAACACAATGTTTGAGGAGTCTGTGAGGATACTGGCATTCAGAATCACAGATTATTGTTTTTGGAAGTATGACCAACATAAGAATTTTCACCGGAAAATGTCATCTGAACTATTAAGAAACATCCACTTTTGTTCTGGTTCTGACATTGCAGTAAATCGCGCTGATTAAATCTAAAAAACGCTTATAAGTTATCATATCACGCAAAACCGTACAAATTATACTTTGTTCTCAAATGTAAAATGTAATGTCCTTCCGATATATATCCTTGTTTTCGCATGGATCCGGTTGCAATCTCTTTTTTTTCCTGTTAAACGTTAGCCACTCCGAAGTTGTTTGCAGCGGGTGAATCTGTTGTCACTGGTGATTGTCATTTGAACCTTTCTGGATCCACCATCAAATTATATCAAGTGCTGTGAGAACAAGCTATAAATCTCCACCTTCAACATCCTCGCACGCAATATAGCTAATACTAGCCGAGACTTCTTCTTTATGTGTACAGATGTGACGTAATGATGCAAAGACATGCTCGAATCTCCCGCGGAAATCCACCAGTACCACTTGAAATTAAAAACATTATTCCAGGCTTCCCGCTTTGAATCGAGCTACGGCAAGCAGTTTTGAACACTGGCTGGTTATGTATTTGTGTAAATATCTATTTCGGATCATTTTAACCCCAAAAAAGCTACGGACTGCCTGCAGCTTTAAATAAGAGATTTTGGTGTGAGAGTGTCACTGTAGGCATTTTCACATTTGTATTTGTATGTGTGCATGTCTTGATTTTTGTGTTGG